GATCGAGCAAAGAGCTGTTGGCGTGGTTGACAAACCCACGTGGGTGGGCCCGTGCACTGTAGCGCCTTGCGCGTTTGGCATGTAGGGTGAATCATCGTCCTGCATCTCCTCTTTGGACAAGAGTTGGAGCAAGTTTGTAGAAAGCAAAATTATAATAAGATCAGAAAAAAGGAGGAGTGAAGATACACTTGGCAATTGCCAATTGGCATCACAAAGTCAGCTTCCTTGTAACTCAAGTCTACAAAAACCTTGGAGCTCAAGTAACGATTCCCCCATAAAAATCCAGTGTTCATCCCCATCGATTAAACCCTTGTAAACTGCAACCAAACCCCTAACCCTAATCCCAAATCAAGACCGACACAAACCCTAGCTCATAGCAATGGCTCCTCCAAGTCTTCTTGGTCCTCCGGATCTCAGAAACCCAAACCAATCAGCAACATCTCAACCCCAATCGCTGCCCGCTTCCGGCGATCCATTCATCGATCTCATGGTCGCCAATTTCAACGACGCTGCCAAGTCTCCAGTGGCCGTCCATCCCCCAATGGGCTACACTGAGAACTGCTCGGCCACATTCCTCAACTCCGGCAACCCCTGCGTCGATCTCTTCTTCCACGTCGTCCCCAACACCCCAGCCTCCTACTTCAACACTCAACTGCCGCTGGCCTGGGCCCACAACGACCTAACCACCTTCAAGCTCATCTGCAACCTGCGTGGCGTCCGTGGTACTGGAAAGTCCGACAAAGAGGGCTTCTAAACGGCGGCGTTTTGGCTCCACAAACACCATCCCAAGACCCTTGTCTGCAACGTTGCCTCCCTTGCCGAGTTTGGGTACTTTAAAGACCTTCCGGAGATCCTCTACAGACTCCTTGAAGGCGAAGACGTGAGGAAGACACAAAAGGCAGAGTGGTTGATGAGAAAAAGTGGCGCTGGTAAGAGTTGTAGGATGGCGGCGTTAAATCCTATGAGTGTACGCCACGGCGGCGTTGCCAAACCACCGTACAGGCGGGGTAGCAAGGGCGCTCGCGAGTCAGGCAATTGGTTAGCGGTTGAGCAGTCTAAGGGGGCGAGGGTAAAAAGGGCATTGGAACGAACGCAGTCGGAAAAGGAAAAGGCGAGCTGTTTGAGGAAAGAGAAGAAGGTTGCCATGGCCAAGAAAGCAATTGAGAGGTACCAGCTTGACTCCGATTTTCGATTCTTGTATGAGCGAGTTTCGGATCTTTTCGCTAGAGTGTTTGAAGTCCGATATCGAAAATTTCTAGGTCAATCAGTACAAAAGGATAAACTTGGCAGCCAAGTGGTCTTCCCACGAAGATACACTGCTTCATCATTCGACAAAGTGTTTGAAGTCCAATTTTCGATTCATCATTCAACAAAGATACACTGCTTTGCAAAAGCATCGGCAAGAAGGTCTTCCCACGAGAATTGTATCCAGAATACGAAGGGGTTGAGGAGGTGCATTATGCTTATAGAGTCCGTGACCGGCTGAGGAAGGATGTGTTGGTGCCGTTGAGGAAGCTATTAGAGTTGCCGGAGGTTTACATAGTGACAACCAGTGGGGTGCCATTCCTTACAACCGAGTGGCCTCTGTTGCAATGAAGTTTTACAGGGAGAAGTTTTTGAAACACGACCAAAAGCGGTTTATGAAGTATCTGGAGGATGTCAAGGCCGGCAAGTCCACCATCGCGGCAGGTGCTCTGCTTCCACATGAGATCATAGAGTCTGTGAATCATAGAGATGGCAGGCAGGTGGCTGAGCTTCAGTGGAAGAGAATGGTGGATGATTTGTTGAAGCAAGGGAAGATGAAGAATTGTTTGGCTGTTTGCGATGTGTCAGGAAGCATGAATGGGACTCCCATGGAGGTGTCCGTGGCTTTAGGATTGCTAGTGTCCGAATTGAGTGACGAGCGGTGGAAGGGGAAGGTCATTAGTTTCAGCCAAAATCCTCAGCTCCATTTCACACACGGCAGTGATCTGCGGTCGAAGTGTGACTTTATTAGGAGGATGGAATGGGGCATGAACACTAATTTTCAAAAGGTTTTTGATTTGCTACTTGATGTGGCGGTGATGGGGAGATTGAAGCCAGAGCAGATGATAAGGAGGATCTTCGTGTTCAGCGACATGGAGTTTGACCAGGCTTCGAGTAGTAGGTGATGGGAGACTGATTATCAGACAATACAGAGGAAGTATAGAGAGGGAGGGTATGGGAATGCAGTGCCACAGATTGTGTTCAGGAATCTGAGGCACTCAATGTCTACGCCAGTGCCTATCACGCAACCAGGGGTGGCATTGTTGAGTGGCTTCTCCAAGAATTTGATGAAGTTGTTCTTGGATAACAAGGGAGAAGTTCGCCCTGGACTTTGTCATGGAAGCAGCCATCTCTGGGGAAGAATATCAGAAGCTGGTTGTGCTGGATTGATCAGCTCATCTAATTGTCATCTTTTGTTTTAGTTGTTCACTTTTCCGAACGTAAAAAGAAAAAAAATTTATGCTAGGCTAGAATTTGATTTTGGTTTCTCAATTTTGTAGCAAAAAATGGAAGTGAAATGAAAATTTAATCGTGTTTTTGCTCCAATATCTATGTGGATTATTGTTTCTGCAATTTGGATTGATTGAGCTGACGTTATATGTATCGATGGTAATTTGGATTGATCTTACAACTTTAAAGTTGTAAGATCAATTACAACAAGCTAAGAGAGTTTGTCTGCAGAAACTACAAGAGCTTTGCACAAACCAAATTTATGGAGCTTCGTGCGATTTCTTCCATATAACATGTTCGTTTATTTATATTCGCAAGACCCTCTAAGTTCAACTTTTACGGGTCATCTATCTGTTGAGCGAAGATAATCAATATTGTCAAAGCGTCTCAGATTCTGTCTAATAATTTCAGAGGACGACAATGCAGCAAAACAGTTCGAGTTCAATCCTCCGAGGATGCAATCTGATCATACTAGTTACGTTATTATTTCTTGCAACTCGTATGCACTTGGCCTCTCACTTTTTCTCGTTGCAGTAAGTGGTGCTTCGTTTTTAACCCCTTTTTGGAGCAGTCTAAGCCTCTGGTTATGTTGCTTGTTGCAGTAAATGATGCTTCGTTTTATTGCTTGAAGTTCGAAGTTAGAACTTACCATAAAGTAAAGGAAAGACGGATTGGAGGGCGAAACCGTTGAGCTTGTTAGATGTTAAGGGTACTAATATATTTTCACCTTGGTAAAGTGAAGCTGATCGAGGGCAAAATCTTGAGTGTAACGGACAATTTATCACCCCCTTTCTATCTCTTGCATAGACATATACATGAAATTAAATTAAACTAGTTGAGTGCAGGTTTCACATGTTTCCCTGTTTCTTTGAAACCCAAGCCGTCTTCCAAATTTTTGTTCTTCCAATTCCGAGATGTTTTTGATCAAATAATTTGTGGAAGCAATGCATTGAATGGAAGTTGACAATGGCTCGGGTGATAAATCACCTGTAGACCGTAGAATCTCTCTCCTTGTGAGCAGCGGCGGATTCAAGGGGGATCCTCCTGGGTCCCGGGACCATACGGAAGTCGGAAAACATATGAAGAAAGTCGCCGGAGGACCATCTGGCATGGGACTTGAGAATGCGCACAAACTGTTTGATGAGATGGCTCTTAGGCAGAATTCGATAGGCCTTGGCAAGTGATGCTCAACAGGCCTTGGGAGAAGCCTTGGCGGCACGCCACGCCTTGGCAATTGATGCTCGACACTAGCCCTTCGAAGTTGTTGTATAGAACTAGGAAGATAATAACATGTCCACTAAGTGCTCGACTAAATACCTCAATGAAAAAATTGAAAAGCTTTGGACGTGCACGTGCTTATATCTTTTACACTGCAACCCTCAAAAGGTTAAATTCCTTGATCCGCCATTGCTCGTGAGGATATATAGAGAGCTCCTCTGACCATTAATCTTCACAGTGAAAGTTCTTGAAGCATGAGGGTTAGAGTTTTAGCAAGTAATTGGAAGATGTCATACTTAGGCATCATCAACATCCATTGTTCTTGTACTATTCGACAACTTTGCTAAAATAATATTTTGAAAAATCCGGTCAATTTAAAAAAAAATTAATTTGTACTCTAATTTAAAATATATTTTATTCAGTAATATGGAAAAGTACATATAGAATGCGTAAATTTTATATGTATTGAAAAATAAGTAAAGATAACGTGTTGTTGTAAAGGTGAATGATACTATCAACTTTCATGTATAGACAAAGTCAAGAAAAGTGGATGGAGATGCCCACAATTTTAAGGATTTCTATCAAACCCTCCTCAGCAGCACATCTCACAATTTCTATACAAGGGCCTATTAGCTTACAAATGTAAGAGTGGTAGTAGAAGAGAAGATACGAAAGAAAGAAAAGAAATGGAGAGAAAAAAAAGGTTAGAGAGATAGAGAGTAAATAGTGAGAATTACTTTGTATTCTTATTATTTTAGATAATGAGAAAAAATACTATTGCCTCCAAGGACGTAGGGCACATTTATCGAACCTCGTTAATATTGTGTCTTATTTACTTTATATTCCACTACACACATATCCTCAATTTCACAACATGTGTTTTAAACGAAAAAAATATTTATGTACGTGTATTACACTTGTATCGTACTACGGAATTAAAAAAAAACATGTAACCTATGAATCATTAGTACCCGTATTATACACAAATTTACTAACTATAATATGAATAAAGGTAATGCTAGGGAGACCAAATTTCTAAATCAAATTTTGTAAACCAAATGATGTGGACATTAATGATTGAATTATTGCTTAAACGTTAATTAATGTCCTTATATCCTATTAGTGACACATGATTTTATTTGCAAATTTAATTTAAAAATAAGTCTCCCTAGCACTAGTAACCGAATAAACTCAAAAAACGTATTAAAAAGGGTTCAAGCTGATCCAAGCCGTTCATCCAAATCCTGCGGCTAAGGTCAAATTTTGTTTATTTTAACTGCGTTTCACCCGATCGACCCTAATTGAAACTCTTGTTTCTCCCACCGCCCGTCCCCTCTGGCCCTCTCTTCCTCGTAGTGCGCAATTGCGGCAAGCCAAAATCTCCCGCTAAACTCAGGACTGTCATCATCTACTACCTCCATGTCACCGAGTTCGAGCACAGCTCATTCCGGAGCCTCCCCCGTCGAGGTTTTCCGGTCGCCGCCTTCTATCTCCAGCGATTTCAGCGACTCCTCATATTCCTCCATCTCCAACATCACGCAGGCCTTTCCTTTCTCTTCTGGAAACCCTAGAATCGAAGAGACCAGAGGCATCATGCTTCTCTACCGCGACGACGCCGATGCCGACGTTATCCCCACCTCCGCGTCTAATCTCCCCGTAAGCTTATTCAATTCAAGCCAGTAAATTTAGACTGTTTATGTAAAATTTGAGAGATTGATTTACTTTTTCAGTTTCATGGTAAAAAATACGTAGAAATTTGTATAATTGGAGCTTTACTGGATCGTGTTTGTCAATTGTGAAGCAAAATATTGTGAAATTTTAACAGTGAATACAAAATTTTCCGGAATCGAGTAATGTGGAGTTGATTTGCCAAGAAATTGATATGAAAACTTTAAGTAACACGCTAACGTTTATGTAAACTTTTAGCAATTATTGAGAGAAACTGTACATTTTCGACATCTAGAAATAGCATTAAAGAGGTTCCTTTGTTCAAGATATGTTGAACTTAGGTTTCTTAAGAAGACTTCTTCTGGTAAAGTTTTTATTTGAGAACCTTTAGAAGTGTTGAATCTCGTTAATTTCACTTGAAGACCCTGAGATAAAGCAAGAAATACGATGCAAGATTTATGTGGATGTCGACTTTGTTTAGGTTGGAAGGAAGCCACTTGTTTGTGTGCTTGGAGTTCCGAATCACATGACATATGCGGACTTTTGCCAGTTTTGTGGTTCATTTATTCAGCATATTTTGGAGATGCGGATTGTCAGGTTCCATATTTGAAAGTTTTTTCAGTTCTGGTCCTCGTATTTCCTTTTTTCTTGTTGCTGGATTTCATCTTGATTTTGTTTTCTTGTTTTGTGTTTAGGAATGACGGGATGGAGGATCGTTACAGCATTTTGATAAGGTTTGATGGTCAGGACTCGACAGATAATTTTTACAAGCATTTCAATGGGAGACGATTCTCGTCGCTTGAGGTTACTTTATACTCTGTTGTCTGTACCTATAGATATAGATACATGGTGCATTGAATTGGCAGGAATTGTACAAAAGTTCCACATATAACACCATTTTAAGCTTTTTATTGTTGTCATTCCTATTTATCTGGGGTTTGATACAGGTGGAGGTTTGTCGTATTCTTTTCACGGTAGATGTTCAATACACTGGTTCGATAGAACATGCGCAAGCATCATCAGGAAGCTCAACTGAGCAGCCATCATGTCCAGTTTGTCTTGGTATGTACAGAAGCACACAAAATGGATCTATGTGAAAATGTGAATTGTATATTTACGGTTTATTTTTTTTTTGTTGTGTCTTCAATACGTAGATTTCTAACTTAACCTTATTTTACAGAGAGACTGGACCAAGATATGGAAGGAATTCTCACGACTATTTGCAATCATTCATTTCATTGTTCCTGCATTTCAAAATGGACAGATTCTTCATGTCCTGTAAGTATTTTTGCAAGTTCTTTCAACTTTTTATTTTTTCCCCTTTAATATGTGTGTATTTGTGCCTGATTGTGTCCTGTAAGTAATTTTGGAGTTCCCTCTTTTTTTCCCTTTTCTTTTTTGTGCAAGTAATTTTTGCAAGACCATGTTCAGAAGTTAGCACACTAAATAGATTGGACCTCCTTTTCTTTTCATTCCCCTTCCCTAGCATGCTATATCACATGCTTGTTTCTAGGATTACAAGACTCGCAATCCACCCTATGTACAAAGTGATGGAACTCAATCAAAGTTTTCCAGCATTATGCATTGTTCCCTGTGAACAATGTATGTTTAGATTATCATTTGTAGATAATGCCCTTGACATAAAGTTCATAGGTTCTTTCCACTTCATATCCTCTTTTTCATACACCATGAATTTCTGCTTCTGCTATGGGGAATTATTTCTAGGAGGGGGAGAGATCGTGAGTAAAAATCAAGTTGGCAACCATCTTTCACAATGTTAAAATCCTCATGTTGATAAGTGTGTATATTGTATTTGATTCATGGAAGTTGAAACAGGTGACTGTATCAAATCTCCTCTCCCAGGGTAGTTAGACCCAGGCTAGGGCTCCTGTTGCAGTTAGTTCTTCAAAAGGACTGTAATTGGTGAAAGTTTAATCTATGAAGGGGTAGTATCAAACAAAAAATATGAAAATCTACTGATGTAGACATAGTCCATCATATAATTTCTATGAAACGGTTTCTACCTTCTTCAAGGGAAAATGCATATTGCTTTTTTTTTTTTTTTTTTTTTTTTTTTTGCCTAGCACTCTAGTAGTAGACAGACAAATATGCTAATGGAAGATGTCTCTTTCTATGCCTCTGTAATTAGACTGTCTTTTGCAGGCCATCTTCCCTCTTCAACCCTCTTATGAGGGTTACAATAAAATAAAAGTTAAAGGTCCTTACTCTTAGGACCCATCTAGAATTGCTTTTGTTGCTTTTGACCATGCACAGTGAGAGGTAAAAAAATCAATTAACTTATATAGTAGTAATACATGAATTCTTTGGGAGTTTACCATGTATATCACACCTGCCAATTTTCTACCTCTGCTGGGTATTTATTCCCCAGTTATGTATTAGCCATCTCTATTATTGAGAAAGGATCATTCACAAAAGTCAAAAGAGGAAACCAATGATAGTAGAAGAGAGCAAAAAGATTACAGTGAGACTCTATAATTACAGTAGGACCTTATAATTACACTACCAAGGATGCTTATAAAGAAACCAAATCGTGCAAGTGGTGAAGCAGTTAGAGCCAAAAAAAAAAAAAAAAAAGCACAGTTGAGAAACTTGCTTATCCAAGTACGTTGTAAAAATCCCTAAAAATAGATGTTCCCATTTGTGATAGATAAAAGGTAAAGATCTGCATGAATCGTGACTTGTGACAGGATACATCTAACCTGTACTGATGCTTAGGAGGTGGTGAACCTATATGATCAGTTCTCTTTGTAGCCAAGCCATTGTTAAATTACAGTCTATGATTTGGCTACGGCTTTCTTACTACAGATTTGTTGCACTTTCCTGCTAGATTTTGCTTGGTTAATAAATAGTTGCAAATGACTTTACAAGGTACGTACTAAATATTTATCGACTTGTCTACCACATGTTATGACAGGTATGTCGATATTGTCAGCAACAGCCTGAAAAGTCCAACTGTTTTGTTTGTCAAACTTCTGAGAATCTCTGGATGTGTGTTATCTGTGGCTTTGTTGGCTGTGGGAGGTAACAATTCTCCACTCGACCATTATCCTCTTATTTTTCTTATCACTTTTGGCCAAAAAAATAAAGATTTCTAGCTCAGTTATGTATCTTCATCATACATTTGCTTGCTCAAAAATTTGATGTAGGTATAAAGAAGGACATGCAATAAGGCATTGGAAAGAAACAGAACATTGTTATTCTCTTGAATTGGAAACACAACGTGTGTGGGATTATGCTGGTGACAATTATGTTCACCGCCTAATTCAATCCAAAACTGATGGGAAATTGGTTGAATTGAATTCACCTTTTATTGGATGTCAAAGTTGCGACTGCGTAGATTCTGAATACAGTGAGGCACTTTTGAACAGTAAAGTAGAAGCTGTAATGATTTTACCCTTCATGTCACTTAATACAGGCCATAGTTTTACTATTATGTTCTTTGTAATTTGAATTTCTCACATTGTGTACCATTATATGCAGATTGTTAATGAATACAATGAACTGCTTGCTACTCAACTTGAGAACCAAAAAGTGGTAAGCTGAATTTTCTTATTCCTTGCAAATAGTTTTCTGTTTAAACTTATTTAAGGTGACATTTAATGTTTCACTGTACACGGATGCTATTTGGATTTCAGTATTTTGAGTCGTTACTTCAAGAAGTTAAAGAAGGAACTGAACGAGAAATTTCTAATGCTGTGGAGAAGGCTGTTCCACTAAAGAAACTGCAGGCCAAGCTGGACAGGTGCGTAAAAGAGAAGAAATTTCTTGACGATGTAAGTGTAAACTCTTGTACTTCTAGAGTAGACTTGAGAATCTCAATGTGCTTTTTAGTGGGTCATTTTTTCGGTAATCTTGCAATCTAAAAATCGTTTTTCTTCTGCATGCAGCTTAATGAAAACCTTTTAAAAAACCAGGAGATTTGGAAAGCAAAGATACTTGAATCTGAAAAGAGGTATGGATATATCCCCGTCGTTCTTGTTTTCTTTATTTTATTTTCCCATCATCGTAAGTTCAGTGACTTGATGTGATAGTAAGCAATTTGACCTTTGATTTGTTTTTACTTTGACCTGGATATACATCTTCAAGTTTATTTTCTCTCTTTGGATTTTGTGCCTTATTGTCATTGATATGAAGCCAAAAACGTTCTCATGGTTGGATGCCCCACCATTTTTGAATGGCTCCATTTTATATCGTCGGAGTTTAAGATTTTGGCACTATCAAAATGGAGGCAACGTAGAGATCCGGGTTATATTGTCCACAAATGGTTGTCTAATCACATTAAGGAGACTATAAAGATTGTGATCCCATGGCCTACCCTTGAACATCTCACTAAATTTGCTGAACCATTTTGTAGATGTTCCCGAGATAGTGTAAATTTATATGCTGTTGTTTTTCAGCTATTATTGCGTAATTGGTCCCAATGCTTGTACTTTCAGGGGGAGAAAGACTTTGAAACTAAAGGATGATAAAATTAGCGACTTAGAGGAGCAGGTGATAAAAAAATTTCACCTTTCGTTTTTTATATACAAGTTTTACTGCTCGATCGCTTTTGGTTGTGTCCAGCCTTAATATTTTAGATTATGCCTTAAACTAATGCGACTTCCATTGTTAAAATTTCACCATTTTGCAGCTTGGGAATTTGATGATGTACCTTGAGGCTGGGAAGACGGTGGAGCAGCTATCAATATCAGATGAAATAAAGGATGGGACTGCCTTGCCCGTATCGGTGGAGCCACCACAGCCATCAGTACGGAATGAAATTGGTGACACCACTGTCACTTCTCCAGAAGTTTCCAATGAACGTATAGAAGAGGGCTCAAAGACTAATAACAGGAGGAGGAGACGCTAAGGTTGAAGGAACGACGCATTACTCTGCTTCCATTTCCTAGGTTATGTGTCAGCTAGGGTGGCCGGTTTTTTCTGCTCTAGTTTTTTAAGGCCAAGTTGTGTACGGTAAGGTGGATACCGGCTTGCTTGGTCGCAAAATTATGTTGATGGGTGATGGTTACTGAAAATTTCTGCACTCTCATTCCTCCAAAACAATGCTCAAACGGTCCTTTACCCGGCTTTTGATGGTGACCGGTAAAGGGGGATCGATACTTGTACAAATGATGTTCAGAGGATTTGTATTACAAATTTGTGTATATAATTACTCACAACACTACTTAAACGCCCACTTTGTCCAAGTTATCGTAAAGTTTGGTTTTTAATAGGGGGTGGTTCTCTGACACTATTTTTTTACACAATTTTTTTTAAACGTTTTTGTGAGGTACACTCTATAAAGTATTTTACCGATGTTTAAAAGTTGTATAAATCGTTGAAGTGCATAACTGATTAACCGTAATAAAAATGAGTGTCAAAAGTTGTGATAAAAAATTGGAACCACGGCCTTTTAATTGCAATAAAAATAAAAATGCGGATCAAGATTCTTTCTTAGTGAAAGAAACAAGTGTTTATTTTGCATGCATGCCGGACTATTGACTACTTACACGGGAAGCAAACATGTAAATTATAATGTAATTTTTTGTTGTTATCCTCAAAATTATAGGGAGAGAGATCCGAACTTGAGTGCACGAAACGAACACATGTTTGTTGTTTTTCCCAGGTATTAGGTGTCAACCACTTGAACCATCCAGAATGACCTACCACTCTTTTTGTGATGTTGTGAGCAACCAACCCCACAGGATTTGGATCTTCTGAAGCCAATTGGTGATCAATATCAAATTATCAATAAAACGGTTATCTAATTTCTATACCGACCAAAAAATGAAGAGAAGAAGAAGAATGGTTAGATTTCCATCTTCCTCCGCCTTCCTTAATCCTTAGCATCATCATCATCATCGTCATCCTGTCTCTCCGCTTCTGTCCAAATTATATGGTAAGATCTCTTACGTTTCGTCTTAATTTCCTCGGAGATTAACCTTAATTAAGCTGAATCTTTGAAGGAAATTAAGACGTCCCCCCCCTTTTTGTATACCTTGATTGTTCGATTTACTGTTTATTTGCTTGAATCTGTCTCTCTTGTTGTTTTATTGTTCTTGCATTTGCATGATTAACGGTTAATTGTCAAATTATTTTGATATATATTTTTTGTTTAATTTGTGAAAACTATGTGGGTTGTCATTGGTCTTATGGGAGATGGCATTCGATCAAGTAGTGGAAGTATAACTTTTTATTTTATGGGTTTTCTGAATTAATTAGGGACATCAATAATTTGTAGGACATGGAAGTTCTGAGCTGAGCAATCATCTTTGGGTGATTAAATATTTTGTCGTCCGATATTGGTGAATTTGCTTTTTATGGTTGGTTGATTCGTCGATCGTGGACAACCGGTTTGTTGGGTTTCCCGGGATTTTGTTCTTGAGTCTGTAAATTCTAAGTAGGAAACTAAAAACTTCGTACCATATAATTGTTAGTTTTATGTTATTTCTTTACAGAAACTGTTTTCGAAGAACCTAGTTTGTTGGTATCTGTGGTTTTTGAATGGCTTCTGTGTCAGTCAGGGTGTTTGGATGAACTGCTTGCATTTTCTTTTCAATTCATCAAAAAACGGGAGAGCGCACATGTGAGAAATTCTCATCAGTGTTTATGCAAATTCAGATTTTCATTTCAAGTTTTTGAAAGAAAGATATCATGTTGTTTCAACCAGCATCTACCGAGGTTTATTATATGCATTCCTGTACTGGACTAAAATTTATCGTATTGGTTTTTGTTGTGATATCAGGTAGTGCAAATCTATTTTAAAGAGGGAAATTTGTGAGTTTTGATGGATTTTCTGCCGGACCAGTTATTATGGGAGATCTTGAGCAGGATTAAGAAAACCACTGACCGAAACTCTGTTTCTTTGGCATGTAAGCGCCTGCACGGATTGGATAATGAACAGAGACAATCTCTTCGGGTTGGTTGTGGATTAGACCCTGCAAATGAAGCTTTGACATCTCTCTGCAGTAGGTTTGTGAACTTGACAAGGGTTGAGATAACTTATGCCGGTTGGATGTCCAAACTAGGAAAGCAGTTGGATGACCAAGGGCTTCTTATTCTTTCCAACTACTGTCCTTCTCTGGTGGATCTCACATTAAGCTACTGCACATTCATCACGGATGTGGGTATCCGTCACTTGTCTTCTTGCTCAAAACTTTCAGCTTTGAAGTTGAATTTCAACGCAAGGATAACTGGATGTGGCATATTATCTGTTGTTGTGGGCTGCAAGAACCTCACTACCCTACATCTTATCCGATGCTTAAATATTAGCAGTTTTGAGTGGCTTGAATATCTTGGAAGGCTTGAAACTCTGGAAGATCTCTCCATTAAGAATTGCAGAGCTATTGGGGAGGGTGATTTGATTAAGCTAGGTTCCAGTTGGAAAAAATTAAAATGCTTGCAATTTGAGGTTGATGTTAATTACAGATATATGAAAGTTTATGATCGTTTAGCTGTGGATCGATGGCAAAAGCAGTGGGTCCCATGTGAGAATATGGTGGAACTTAGCTTGGTAAATTGCATCATCAGCCCGGGGCGGGGGCTTGCTTGTGTGCTGGAGAAGTGCAAGAATTTGGAGAAGATTCACTTGGACATGTGTGTTGGGGTAAGGGACTGTGACATCATAGGCTTAGCTCAAAAGTCAAAAAATCTTCGCTCCATTTTCCTTCGCGTTCCGTCAGATTTCTCACTTCCTCTTTTGATGAATAACCCATTGAGATTAACTGATGAATGTCTAAAAGCTTTGGCGCAAAACTGTTCTATGCTTGAATCTGTCAGGATATCTTACTCGGACGGGGAGTTCCCTTCTTTTTCCTCATTTACATTAGATGGAATCCTCAATTTGATTCAGAAGTGCCCTGTGCGGGAACTTGCTTTCGACCAAGTGTATTCCTTTAATGATGTTGGTATGGAAGCTCTTTGCTTGGCTCAGCATCTGGAGACCTTGGAGCTAATCAGATGCCAAGAGATAAGCGATGAGGGGCTGCAGCTCGTGGGCCAGTTTCCCCGGTTGTCCATTTTGCGTTTAATCAAGTGTTTAGGGGTTTCTGATGATGGGTTGAAGCCGCTTGCAGGGTCATACAAATTGGAATTGTTAGCTGTGGAAGATTGTCCTCTAATTTCTGAAAGAGGAGTTCTTGGAGCTGCGAAGTCCGTATCTTTCAGACAAGACTTGTCATGGATGTTTTGAGCTTGTTACCGCCTGAGCGGATCAGATTTGCCGTAAGTATCAAGGTCGGTATCGGCAGTGTGGTTTCTGCAACCATTAATTTATCCAGATTCCAGAATCCAGATGTAATATTGATATATTTATATGGCTTATTACTGTAAAGTGTTCCAATTGTGAATGTTATGTTTGTAATGAACTCGATGAATTGTTGGCATAAATTATTGCTCTAAATCTCTGATGTATTTGCCTTCACTGATAGCCTGGACCAAGTTATTGGTGGTTGTTTAACAGTGGGATGAGGGTTTAAGAAGAAACACCACGATGCTGGAAGAAGGAAGAGTTATAAAACTAAGGGCAACAGGTCTTTTTAACTCCAACTTTGGTTAGTTTTATAAAAAGTAGAAAATATGGGTTATATTTCAATAGGTAGTCTTTAAAATGGCTACCTTCCAAATTTCTCTATAAAAGCAGTGTGAATACTCACTTGAAGACTTTGGACATGGTAGGTTGGTCACATAACTTATGTATTTAATATTATTGGCTAATGGAAATGTGGGGCCGAATATAGAAAAGATGGTTGGCCATTTGCCTATAAAATGAAGAGGAGAAGAAGTAGTAGAGGACGTAGAAGAGAAATATATTAATAAGCTATAAGATTAGAGAAAAGAAAGAAAAATAATGAGAAATATCTTTTATCTGACCAACCTACCATGAGGTAAATGTCCTTGCTATGAGGGGAAAGTGCTTTTGTCCTTGTTATGAGGTAAATGTCCATCATAGTCATTCAATTTATGGGCAAATTGCACTGGTTCTCCCCTGATGGAGCAGAGACTTTTATGACATGGATTCACTGCAATCATGACATCTTAAGTTAATGGAACAATGCAATCATGACGCCTTAAGTTAATAGAATAAGGCGATGTAGAGGGAGTCGTACATCAGTAGCTCGGAAGCTCGGAACGATACAGTGATTCAGATGCAGCAAAAAGATGGTGGTCTCGAGTCGCAGCCTTGCACTCACTCAATTACGACTCAGATAGCAATCATCGTGTGGTGGACATGGTTCACTGTGGGGTTGTGGGCAAGGCTAAGGCGGCGCTTGGACCAGTTATTGGTGGTTGTTTAACAATGGGATCAAGGTTTAAAAGAAACACCACGATGCTGGAAGAAGGAAGAGTTTTAAACTAAGAGCAATAAGTCTTTTTAAATCCAATTTTGGTAAGTTTTATAAAAATTAGAAAATATGAGATATTTCAATAGGTAGTCTTTTTTTTTTTTGTTTTTTTATGCAAAGAAATTTATTAAAGCACGAAACCTCTAGTACAACCGTTTCCAATACAATCAAAATTAAAGATAGGAAGAGCGACATCAGGTAAACAGAAATCCCAATAATGAGGATTCGAGAAGGAGAGGCCAAGGTGAGCTAAAGCATCCATAACAAAGTTTGTCTCCCTGAAAATGTGCTTCCAGTCAACATGACTAAAAGACCGAGCCAAGATACGAATATCATTGATTATAGAGCTGACTCTCCAAGGAATCCCCCAATGACCCTGCACAGCTTCAATGATAAGCTTAGAGTCCCCCTCCACCATCACTTTAGTGAAACCCTTGCCCCTAGCACACTGGAGCCCTTCTCGCAAACCAATCGCTTATGCTATTGAAATAGTAGCGTCATCAAGGTTAAGAGCTTCCGCCCCAATCACCTGTGAATTATTGTTACAGAGCACAAAGATAGTAGCAATACGGTTGTTTGAAACTGAACCATCAAAATTAATCACATGATGTCGGTCATGAGGATGCCATTTAATAAAGGAAGAGATAGGTAAAGCCTCCTTAGGATCACACTTCCCATTAGCCTTGAGAAAAGCCGAACCAACACTACCGGCGATAGAAACACAACGTGCCAAGATCAAGGGCACACTTCTAAACACCAAGTTATTTCTTTCCATCCAGATTTGCCAGTAGTTCAGAATTACTTTACTAAGATCAGAAAGGCTGTCTTTGTCATTAGAACTTAAGGATTCCATCCAATCAAAAAATTATCATTAGTACTTATGTTACCATTATTAAAACTACCAAAAGTTGAGCTCCAAACTTTAGTAGCAAAAACACAATTACAAAAGAGATGACATTAATCTTCTTCGGCTGTATTACACATAACTTATCAATATTTTTAACAAAACGACTTAAGTGTTTTTTGGTTTGTAATCATTCCTGAATCATAAGCCAAACAAACATTTTAACCTTAGGAGGAATAGTTAGCTTCCACAATTTCTTTAACAATGTAAGGTGATTACTAGAGTGATTGTTCTGATTTTGTAGCCAGGTAGCAGACTTAATAGAAAAGTTCCCATTGTTGGTTAAACCCCAAATTAACTTGTCATTCGACTTCTGTAAAGGGAGGGGTATGCGACAAATTTTTCTAATGATGTCATTATCAACTATAATAGCTAATTTAATGCTATCCCAACTATTATGAACTATAAAGTTCCCATGATTATGAACTATAAAGTTGCTTACCTTAAGATTCCAATCAATATTATTTCTATCATTCACGGGAATTAAATGAAAAAGGGGGTAAGGAAAAACCCTTTGTGGGTCCAAAAGAGTATGTATTCACCATTACCCACAATCCATCACATTCCCTCATGGATGATGTTTCTATTAGAAAGAATACCTTTCCAAGCAAGTGAGTAGTTTTATTTAATTTTCAAATTTAAAAAAATCAGACTTATTTAAGTATTTACTTTTAACTATTTTAGCCCACATATTTTCTTTGTTGGTTAAAAATTTCCAACCTAATTTGGCTAAACAACCATTGTTAAAATGATCAATCCATTTGATTCCTAAACCACCCTGATTCTTTGGAGAACAAACCTTCTTCCAGGCCATTGGTTTGAGTTTAGTATTTCTCCCCCAAAAGATATCTCTGCATTCTTTATCAATTTTAGTTGTTACCCTATTGGGGCACTTAAAGCAGACATTACATGATTCAGCATCCCGATGAGATTAGAATTAATAAGAGTTAGTCTCCCGACCTTGGAAAGGGTTTGCCCTTTCCAACTGACAAGTTTTTGCTTCACCCGTTTAATTAATTCTATCTTGTTAACCGGATCCTTCCAAAAAACTATATTATAGATCCCTAAGTACTTCCCAATAGTGGTTTTCACAATATTGTTCCTATCCTGGTTGATAGTATTATTTGAAAAATAAATAAAAGATTTATGAAAATTTACCTGTTGACCTGCAGCCGATGCAAACATCTGAAGGATTTGAAGGACATTTCTAGCCCCTTTAGGGGTAGCTTAGGCAAAAAGTAGACAATCATCAGCAAAAACTAGGTTCAAAATTCTAAATCCCCCAGGGGATGATAGGATTCCCATGTGGGATTTAGGAGTAGAAGCCAAATGATTAAAATGTCTAATAAGTGTTTCCATACATAAAATGAAAAAGTAATGTGGTAAGAGGTCACCCTGTTGTATGCCACAATTAGGATAGAAATAACCATGTGGAGAGCCATTAATTAAAATGGAGAAAGAAGTTGATGTAATGCATTTCATTATTAAGTTGATCCATTTCTCATTAAAACCAAAGTAAATTAGAACAAACGTTATGTAATCCCAATTTAAAAGGTCATAGGCTTTTTCCAAGTCCAGTTTAACACCCATGGTCCCCATCTTGCCTTTCTTTACTTTGAAGCTAGAAAATAAATCATGGGCAATTAAGATATTATCATGAATGGAATGCGCCGGAGTAAAGGCACCTTGATTAGCAGAAATGCATAGGTCAAGCAAAGGCTTAAACCTTTTAATAATAATTTTATAATTAACATTACAAAGACCAATGGGTCTATAATTGGACACAGTTTCATGATTATCCACTTTTGGGATTAAGGCAATATTTGTGTGACTAATAAACCTTAAGATTGAATTATTTTTAAAGAAATCTTTAATCATAGGAATAATAGTATCTTTAGCCTCTTCTCAACAATCTTGGTAAAAAGCAACATAAAGACCATCAGGTCCTGGTCCTGGTGGTCTTAACGCACCAATGCTATTCACCACTTCCAAACTTCCTCATCTGAAATACATTCAAGTAGTTGCATATTATGCGTATGATCAATGCAAGGAGTTATGATATCAACCATTGTAGCCAATGTTTCCTAAGAAGGGGAACTTTCACAAGAAAAACACAGTTTAAATTCCTACACAAAAACTTGCTCTAGATCTTCCCCATAATTCCACCAGAAACCATTACTATCTTTAACACATTTTGTTTCATTTCTTTTCTTACGGATAGAAGCCATTGTTTGAAAATATTTAATATTTTTGTCTCCCAATTGAAGCCACTTAACCTTAGCTTTTTGAGCCCACATAATTTCATTTTCCTGTAAAACTCTTTGTTAAGCTCACTTCTAATTTTAACCTCGTCCTCCATGCTTATAGAGTTATCTTGATCCCTCATAATTTTATTTTGAATATCACATAGAGAGGTTAAAAGCTTATCTTTACGATCTTTGACATTACCAAATGTCTCTTTGTTCAACTTCCTTACCAAATACTTGAATGTCCCTGCACAAGTAACACACTTTTCTTGTGGCCTTGGAATATTTGTACAAGTCCAAGCACTTTTGACAAAATTCCTAAAATTAGGATGACGAAACCACATAGCTTCAAACTTGAAGGAATAAGAACCTTTTCTAATAGGGTTTACATTATTTGTACGTAAGATGAGACTATGATACGATCCAAAGATAGGAAAATTATGTAAAGAAAAGTCATGGAAGTCCCTCAACCACTGAGGATTAGCAACACCACGATCAAGTCTCTCATAAATCCTAGTGTTGTCACTATGACCATTGGTCCAAATATAGGGAACACCGGAGGCTGTTAGGGAAATCAAGTCATCCCTATTTAGAAAATTAATGAAGTTATTCATGTAGGTAGTAGTAGAGCAGCCCCCAAGCTTTTCAGTGAAATCCACAATATTATTGAAGTCTCCAATTAAGCACCAAGAATGGTTTGTTGGTGTATGAGCTAAAATTTGATCCTAGAGATTAGCTGGTAAATGTTTATGCGATGAGAAGAAGAGATTTGTCAAGGTTCTTCCTTTTTAGTGGGTGGTTTCCATAGTTGGGTATTGTTTTTATGAGACAGATGTTTTGGGAGTTTAATTCATAAAGAAAATAGTTCTCTAGAGTGAGTTGTAATAGGTAGTCTTTAAAATGGCTACCTACTAAATTTCCTTTTTTTTTTTTCCTTCTCCTCATTAACGAGAAAAACTTGTGTGAGGCTTGGCTTACCACTGGACTTTGTTGAGTGGCACTACAATCCATTCAAAACTTGTCACATGGCAAGTCTTAAATATATAATCTTTTATCATTCTTTTATATTTAAAATTCTCATAATTATTTTTTTACTAATTGATAAATTTTATATATATATATATATCAATCTAATGTCTGTTTTTTCTTCCCAAATTTCCCTCCACTTTGTTTTGTCCTTCTCTTCTAGTTCTTGCTTTTTATGAAACTCTGCACTTTTTTTCTTCACAAAACTTCTTTGCTTTCTTTCCCCCCACTGTTTCTCTCCTCTCTCCAATACAAATCTTTCTTATTGCCCCACTGTTTCTCTTCTCCCTATAAATACAAAAGTGCACACTCCAGATTATCGAGTTAGTTTTTTCATAACCTATTTGTTATCTTTCACTTTGTTTTGATCGTAGTAGCTTTCTATTTGCAAGAAAGTACATCTTTACTAAATATAATTAAGAAAAAAACAACCCCTAATATGTGGGTTATTCATGTCAAGTTCTATAAAGAACGAAAAGAAACTTACAGATTCTTAATTGTTTTCCATGATAAAATTGGAGTGGGTGCAAATTTTTTTTGAAGGAAAGCAAGAAACAAAATTGGAAGAGAAAGAAGTGGGAGAACGTATTGAAGACCTATGGCAAAACAAAGTGGAGGGGAATTTGGGAAGAGAAAAAATAGGCGGAAAGAAGAAAAAAAGAGGAAACATTAGATTAATATATATTATTAGTAGAAAAAATAATTATGCAAATTTTAAATATAAAAGAATGATAAAAGATTATATTTAAGACTAGCCACGACGAGTTTTGAGTGGATTATAGTGCTACTCAACAAAGTCTAGTGGCAATCTAAGCCCCACACAAGTTTTTCTCCTCATTAACCACCTTTCCCCTTTTCATGCAAATGGGCAATTTTTATTAGTGTTGTAAAAACAGTGTAAATGCCCCACTATAAAAGCGGTGTGAGTATATCCACTTGAAGACTTAACACATTAAGTCATTGGTGGTAGGTTTAGCCACATAACATTTGTATTTAATATTATTGGCTAATGGAAATGTGGGATTGAATATAAAAAAGATGGTTGGCAATTTGCCTACAAACCAAGAGGAGGAGAAGAAGTAGCAGAGGACGTCATAGAAGAAAAATATATCAGTAAGCCAAAGGGCTAGAGAGAAGAAAGAAAAATAATGAGATATATATTTGTACTTTTGTTATTTTAGATAATTGGAAAGAAACTACAGTTGTCCCAAAGATGTAGGCACGTTTGTCAAACCTCGTATATATCGTGTCTTATTTATTTTATTTCAATGCACACATATTCTCAATTTTACAACAATTGGTTAATTGTCCAGACTCCATAGAAGCTCAGACATAAATGGGAACACGACCAATCACACAATGACACAAATATTAAACTTGTAGCAGAATGAGACCCGCTCCTCCTTTCCCGTTATATTCTCCCTTCAACACCGGCGTCCAACTAAACATTCCAGATGCATGGATCATGGATGGGACTTCTCTTCACATCTCAGAGTTTCAGTCTGCTTAAACCATACGACCTTATACGACGACGGTTTTGTCCCGCATCTGAAACCATTCATTCATCTTTACCACCGGAATCGAATTTGTTCCTCAATTATCTGTTTATTGAATATTTTCCTCTCACAGAAAACGCTACATAAACCGACGGTTCTGTTGCACACGAAGCGCCAATGGCAATGACTTCTCTCCATCTTCTCAAACCCCCAATTTGCACCAGAACACGAAGCACTCGTGTCCCGATCAATGTGGCTGCAGCGCGTGGGTGCCTTAGCGTGGACGCAAACGCAGCAGATCCATTGAAGGCTGCGGTGGTGGTCGGGAGCCAGGAGGTTCTGGAGGCGGAGCAGAAGGTGATGGTGGGAACGTACAAAAGACCGCCTCTGGTGGTCTCCAGTGGCAAAGGTTGTAAACTGTACGATCCTGAAGGGCGAGAATATTTGGATTTGTATTCTGGGATTGCTGTCAATGCTCTTGGACATGGGGATCCTGATTGGATACGGGTTGTCACAGAGCAAGCCCATACTCTTACGCACGTCAGCAATGCCTTCTATTCCATCCCTCAGGTTAAATAAAAAACCGAATTTGTACTAATATTAAAAATCGAATTACACTGATAATCTGGTATGGGGTGTTTGGATTATAGATTTTCAAAGTTATGTAGAACTTAGGCTAAATGTGTTAGAAATGCATTATAAAATTGGATAGAGTGACTTCTGCATCCTTTGTTTAGTGCATCTCTTTGTATTTTTAGTGCTCTAATTTGTAGTGTTTGAGTTCTTCGGTTGTAGTGTGTTTTTAACGATTGAGTCTAAATTAGCCTATTGATACTTAAAAGAAGGCAACGATTTATAATGATATGTAATTTATTGTGATTAGTTGTAGTATAATGATTTATAATGTTTAACATCAGCTCTTTTAACCATTATATGTGATGTGACGGGTTCGCCTTTCCTTTTAGAATATAGAATATTTATCACTCAAGCTGTAATATCTGTCATACATTGTTGCGTAGAGAAAACCCTGGTTGCACTCGATTTGTTTTTTATTGGTTCAGTGACCATGCATGTTGAGTTCTGAACGAAGCTTCTTCAATTAATGGGATATGATTGTGGGATATAATTTCAAATCTTTTCTTGTCAATATAATTTTTTTCTCTCTAAATTATCAGTTGCTTAGTCAAACGGCAAATTAATGTTGTTACTTCAGGTGGAGCTAGCAAAGCGTCTGGTGGCTTGCTCATTTGCTGATCGTGTCTTTTTCTCCAACTCAGGAACAGAAGCAAATGAAGCTGCCATTAAATTTGCAAGAAAGTTTCAAAGATATTCTTTCCCTGATAAGAAAGAGCCTGCAACAGCAGAATTCATCTCCTTCACCAACAGCTTCCACGGAAGGACAATGGGAGCTGTTGCTTTGACGAGTAAGGAGTATTACCGGTCACCATTTGAGCCTGTCATGCCTGGAGTTACTTTCTTGGAGTATGGAAATATTGACGCTGCACGAAAACTAATTCAATCTGGAAAAATTGCTGCCGTGTTTGTCGAACCTATCCAGGGTGAAGGTGGCGTCCATAGCGCAACTAAAGAATTTTTGCAGCCGTTGCGCGGTGCTTGTGATGATTCGGGGTCACTACTGGTCTTCGATGAGGTAGGAAGCTTAATCGCAAACTTTACATGCTACTCAGCTTGTCCAAATAATTATTTAAGTTAGTAGTACGAGAAACTGGTTGTTATATGAATCTATTGGATCAGTCTCAGAATAGGTACATAAACAATATATACGTTGAAGAATACAAAATCTCACGAAAATTGATAAAATTACATATAACTTATATTGAATGATCAAATTCTAATCACACCAAACCCCTAAGCCTTGTATTGTGAATGCGGTAAGATGCAAGTTGGTGGACAATATATGTGTAGTTATTAGTGGGCAGCTGACTCGCGTCTCTCTAAAATCTTGACAATATGTATATGAAACTAGTTTAATTCAAAATAAGAATGGTTTTGGACCCATATGGAAATAGCTTGCGCTTATGTGTTGTGAGGAAATCTTACGCTTCATGCTTAACTATGGCTGCCCGGAATGTAACAACGTAGCACTGATCAATTTGCTAGGGTACAAAGAGCTTAGAGAACATATTCTGAAATTCTCGAGTTAATCCTAAAATTTAGTACTTTGGATGTTGGTCACTTTTTCAAATATCATTAATTACGTAGGTCATTTTAGAACGAACTAATAGTTTGTACTCTTATGAATTTGCTTAAACCAAGGTAGAAATATGAACTGTACGTGATTTTGTACCATAGAGAATTGTCAATGTGGCAAGCACCTTAATTATACTGTTTTAATTCCTAGGTACAATGTGGCTTGGGGAGAACTGGTTATCTCTGGGCGCACGAAGCTTATGGTGTAGTCCCCGATATAATGACGCTGGCCAAACCTCTTGCAGGAGGGCTTCCCATGGGAGCTGTATTAGTCACCGAAAAGGTTGCTGCTTCAATAAAACATGGGGAACACGGAAGCACATTCGCTGGAGGGCCGCTTATTTGTGCTGCAGCCCTTGCCGTTTTGGACAAAATCTCAAAGCCTGAGTTTCTATCGAGTGTCTCAAACAAAGGTCGGTATTTCAAAGAACTGTTAACAAGGAAGCTGGGAACAAATCCACATGTGAAAGAAGTACGTGGTTTCGGGCTCTTTGTTGGGGTAGAGCTGGATGTATCTGCTTCAGCGCTTGTGGATGCCTGTCGAAATTCTGGCCTGCTCATAATAACAGCGGGAAAAGGAAATGTTCTCAGGCTTGTGCCCCCATTGATTATCTCTAAGCCAGAATTGGAGCATGCGGCTGATATTTTGCTTGAATGTTTGCCAGTCCTTGATGCCTCAGATTGAAGTTAAATTAACTGTCACCATTTAGTTTTGAGAAGTGATTTTCTCACTCTCTTTTTCTTAACTACACTCTTCTCTTTCGTCCTAGCCTTTGATTTCAATAAATCAAGGGACAAAACCAAGTGGAGGAGTACAGAAGGAGAGATCGTAAGTGTACGTGGAAAACACTAACCTTTAGTTTTATGTCAGAAATGTAACATGATTTTTATTTGCACCCTATATATTTAAAGTACAAAATGTAGCCTATATACACCACTGGTTCGGAATCCCACATTATCAGGTTCTAATCCATGTTAAATCATTCTAATCAGTCGTTGACGCCAAAAAACTATCTAATTAGCCAAACAATCAATCAATCAATACTGTTAACGAAGTCTAAACACGAGTGACATCAACACTCCAACAAAACTGGTTCCTTATATAAAAGAAACAAGATGGATCATAATTTGGCAGCAAAAGGCTAAGAAGATCGGTCAAATTCGACGAGGACCATATATACATTATCTTAAGCACCACTTGATAACTACAGGGACCAAATTAATCGATCGTTTGGATGACATAATTGTCACCCTCTAAAAAATATACATTACAAAATTCTTATCCACACACTACTACTGTAAGGACAATACATGACAAATTTAAACAACATCATAACTTCATAACCTAGGAGAGATGCTACTGAGGCGAGGATGAGAAAAAATCTCATGTGATGCTGGTCTTGTTAGGCGGCAGTGTTGAGTGGTAAAAAGCTCAGTTTATAAGATGAATGCACTCAAATTCGATGAATATACCTGCTATCTTTTAACTGAACTCTTTTGTTACTCAGCACTGACATGTTAGAACTTACAAGAACATGCATAGGCACTAAACAATTTCTCAAGAAAGCCTAGCTATGCTGCCGAGTTTCTATTTGCAGAGCTTTTTTTCCCCTTCAACTTCAACCAAAGACCTTAAGATATAAGGTAAAAAAATTGCAAGGTATATGTAACTCGACTTGACATTAGCCTGGTCACTTATAGCCGCAATGGAAGTACCATAGGTAAATGACATAGAAAACATGGCAACCCATATCTCCAGATAGAACGGAAAATTATACACGAGATATGAGATCACGAGTATGGATGAAGAAAACGAAAGGAACATTGTGTAGGCGTTTCCAGTAGTAGCCAAAACTGACCTGCCGGCTAACTTGTCCTCACTCTTGGTGTTAGGCTGTTAGCTATACCGAGTTTCCTGCCAAACACCACCAGGAGGATTCAATCCCGCTGTGAAGGTTGCGGCAGCAATCAGGGTCGCCACCACTAACAGAACGCTTCTTATGTCGGTTTCCGAGTCTCGTTCTGGATTATACTGAAAGTGTTTCAGCAGTTTGGAGACAGATTCATGAGGTGGGGACTGTTCAACATTCATTGCAGCCATTGAAATTTATTCGCACTAGCAGTCACTACTATATAGCAAGTGTTAAGAAGAGGAAACTAATTAGGACAACTACTTACGAATGGGATCTATCTGCCTTCCCCTCTTTACTTTAAATACAGGAACATGCAAGCAATTCAACGAAAGTTTTTCTTTCGGAAAAAGAAAGACAAATAAAAGTTGTATTGTGGAAGCCGTCTCTGTGGAAAAGTTAGTCTGATGAAACTGGTGTTCGACAGTTGTACAAGTTATTTAAGTCTGTTGTCCAATGGCCACTTTCGCCCCTAGAGAAAATTGATAAGGTTCATTATATGGAGGGCCGGATCCTCTTTGTGAGAATTTTCGGACATCTTTCAATCACATTCGTTCATCGTATATTGTACGGTCAGTTTTCGTCAGGTACTGTTTATATTCAATTTTAAATAAAAAAATTTACAATAATTTCTGACCGCACAAAGTACAATAAATGAATGTGATTGAAGGATTTCTAAAATCCGAGGATCCAGCAAGCATCCTCTCTCCATTATATTGTTGTGACTTTTAAGCCAAGCCAGTCAACTGAAGTCCTCCATTATGCGTAGAAATTGTGAATTTTTGTCCTTGCATTACTGCTCAATACGGGTGAAAAAAATAAACCGAAAATTCCGAACCAAACTTAAAACATCCCGAACCGTTCGACCTCAAACAGAATGTATTGATCCCAAAAAGTTTGGTACAGAATTCGGGATCCTATATGCCTTCGTTGGTAATCCCGAAACGAATTGAAACATATTTTATAAATTAGGTTTATAATTATGTGGACTATCAGATTGGTTGTAATTTAATTTCAACCATCCAATCTAACTTAGGATTTTAGTCTCTCACATTCTGTATGGAAATGGAAACAACCCATCTCCTCCGCCTCTCCCCAAATGAACCCAAACATATTTTATAACATATGCAATTTTAAATCAAGTTTAGAAATTATATGGACCGTCTCAGATTGTTGTATGAAAATGGATTTGTATATTTCCTTCTTTTCATACATTGTAAAGTATTTGTATGTTTGTAGAATCCCTAGATTATTTATAGAATGGTCTGTAATAATATATAATCACCGTTTTGATATACAATTTGCAATTTACCATCGGGCATTTGCAAATTGCAATTCACATGAAAAAATTACAGTTTCAGTAACTTTGGATCATATGTATAGTTTGTACTATGTAGTATTAATCTTACCAGTCAGTATTAATTTAATCTTCACATTTCTGGAAATTTTTCACTTCTTTCCATGCTTACTGCCATTCATAGTTTTGTATTTTAATCTTCACGGTTAACTGATAAGTGTTTTTCTTCCATCGCAGGCACTTGATACTTTCAACACAGCAAGTAATTGGTGAATTTGGTGACTGATTGGGGACTAGGTTAGTTTTCTATGGAATGTAAATATGTTGCTCTTTGAATTTTTTGCTTTAAAAAAAAAAAAAAAAATTAAAAGTACGATATTCTTTAAGATGAGAAGAATAGGTACAAAATAAGAATATAATGCATAAATGGGTCTCGATAAAATTCTTGTCAAAAATTTCAATCCAATCAAAAGAAAAAAGAGTGTCTCACACAAATATAACTATCCTCAACTAAAACACACTTGAAACAATTCAGTTACTTTGAGTTATTTTCTATCAAGCTATCTAAAACCAAATCCGCGTCGTCGAACCATGATACCTCGAGCTGTCTTCTAATACCTGAGTGAGCCAATCTGTGAGCAACATGTTGCTCTTGAATTTAATTTGGTGAATTTGGATTGTGAATTGAATTGAAAACGTTGAATTGATTTGGATATGTTGAATTGACTTGGAATATTGGATTGATTTGACTATTTTTATTTTTATTTTTATTTATTTATTTATTTTTATTTGGAAAGATATAGCTTAGTGGTTAGATGTTAGATTAGGAAGTAGATAGGGTTCAAATTCACGCCGAAATGCAATGACATAACTCTTTCTTACTATTGTGGTAAAGCATTACTTGCGAATATTTGTAAATTAAATTGGACATATGTGAATTGATGTGGATATATGCTGTATTGATGATTGTGATACATTATTGTGCATTTTTAGAATGGACGGGTATAGTAGCCAATTTAGTACATCAACGGTCTCGGTCTTAGGAAAACGAAAACAAACAAGCAGTAGTACAAAAACACATTTGTGCGACGGAGCAAATTACATTGTGCAAGGACATTTTCCGCAACGTTGACAACTAAGCGTCGCTCAAGGACATTTTGTGTGACGAAGCATTCTGTCGTGCAAAATAGTTTTGCGCGACGAAGCATTTCGTCACTCAAAACTGTTTAGCGCAACGAAGATGTACCTTCGTCGCGCAATGTTTGGAAAAAAAAAAAAAGGCAATAAAATCCTGGTTTGGCACCAGAAGATTGCTTGATGGACCAAATGCGTTGTGCAAAGGGTTTTTGCACGATGTACCAACCAATGAGTCACACAAAGGATGTTTGCGCGACAAAACAACCCCGTTATGCAATGGGTTTTTGCGCGATGGACAAATGTGTCGCGCAAACACCCTGTGCGCGACGTCGTTGGTCCGTTGTGCTATTTTTTGGAAAAATACGGTAATGTTTCGCGCCAAACAGCATGTGCAATGCTGTAAAAAATTGACGATCAAATTAGTTCATTGTATTCATATAGGGTCAAGGAGTGTAGCTTTAAAAAATCATCAAAATCAGAGTTAAAATAACCGTTCAATTGTGATTTTTTGTTTATAATCTTAGAAAAGTTTTGTCCCGTTACTTGATCTATGAATGTTTGTTTTTTGCGATTTTTGGCATATGTGATCTCGAAGTATATGCAAACAAGTTTGACGGTTGGATCTTTGAAACTAGTTTTGTAGAATTCATATCCCATCAAAACAATAGATTAACTAACATTTAGAGTTTATTTATACTTTTATTAAGTATAACATAAGATTTTGTGGTATCCACTAGTGTAATATTTTAAATTCAAGATCAAATTCATTCATTGTATTCATATAGGGTCAAGGAGTGTAGTTGTAAAAAATCATCAAAATCAGACTTAAAATAACAATTAAATCTTGATTTTTCATTTATAACCGTTGAAAAGTTTTGTCCATTGATCTTTGAATGTTTGTTTTTTGCGATTTTTAGCATACGTGATCTCGAAGTATATGCAAACAAGTTTGACGGTTGGATCTTTGAAACTAGTTTCGTAGAATTCGTATCCCATCAAAACAATAGATTCACTAACATTTAGAGTTTATTTATACTTTTATTAAGTATAACATAAGATTTTGTGGTATCCACTAGTGTAATATTTTAAATTCAAGATCGAATTCATTCATTGTATTCATATAGGGTCAAGGCGTATAGTTGTAAAAAAATCATCAAAATCGGAGTTAAAATAAAAGTTAAATCATGATTTTTCGTTTATAACTGTCGAAAAGTTTGTCCCGTTACTTGATCTCTAAATGGTTTTTTTTTTTTTTTTTTGCAATTTTTGGCGTATGCGATCTCGAAGTATATACAAACAAATTTGACGGTTAGATCGTGGAAACTAGTTTCGTAGAATGCGTATCCCATCAATATAATAGATTCACTAACACTTAGAGTTTATTTGTACTTTCATGAAGTATAATATAAGATTTTATGGTATCCACTAGTGTAAATATTTTAAATTGATAATCGAACTAGTTCATTGCATTCATATATGGTCA